GGTTGGACTTTAACGCGTTATTTGCACATTAATGTCCGTTTACAGAAAATGTAAGCGTTTTGATAGTGTTCGATAACTCGCGTGTTTGATTTAGTGAAGAGTGAATCCCATCACGTGGTTCACTTATACACTAATAGAGGTCATTATTAAGCCACCGATTCTTATTTTTGTGGCTAAGGACAAACAAAAGCTTTTGAAATGGTTCTATGTCATTAAAGTTTATGGTGTGCAACTATTTTGTGGCATTTCCTGTCTGTTGTTGTGCCATAATTACAGAATCAGTGTGTCATAATGAAAAACAATTGACGCCGGTAACCTGTGGTGGAAGACATATTTGCAGTCCTCCTTTAGAATAATTCAGTGAGTGCACAAAGATTGTTTTACAGATAATTTTAGTATGAAGTCCCACCTTTTAGACGGTATGCTCTGTTTTTTGAAGTATGCCATGGCATTGGAGATATTTGGCCTAAACTTTGGGTATTTTAACAGCTTGGGTGAGAGGGGCGGTCTTGGCTGACATGATTTGTGTGATAGGAACTAGTCATAGAAGAATGAAACATTGACAATAGATTGTCATTGGGTAGGATAACATTCACTGAAAATATGAAAGAATTTGGTTGAATTCTTATAACAGTAGAGCTTCATACTTTTGACCAATTTTTTGGTGATTTTTTTGGTCATTTTTGTAAAACAAAAAAAACAAGGGGGTGACCAACTCCCCCGGTTTTGACCAAATTTCCTTAAACTTAGACTGAAGTAGTTCTGGGTGAACCCCTTCAAATTGGCCAAGTTCATTGACATAGGTGAGCTGGTTTGTGCCGCTCTACCTGGTGGATGCACTCTTAAGGCTTTACGTGGCCAATCACGACAGTATATTCTGACCTCCTTCACCCTCCTTCTGACCTCCTTTACCCAAAAGTTATTTGTCCCTCGATCCCAGTACAAAACCCGTGGTGATCGTGCTTTTTAAGCTCTCGCACCAAAACTGTGGGATGCTCTTCCTCTACAGCTGAGATCGGTCGACTCCTGTGAAACTTTTACAAGGTATCTGAAAACGTTTTTAATCAGACAGGCTTTTGGTCGACTTGTAGCTGCTTTATTTTATTTTATTTTTTATTTTATTTTTTTTAATGTAATTTTACATTTTTTAAATTTTATTTTAATTCATTTTCTTTATTGTTTTTGATGCAGTGTATTTCAGCTGTTGCTCCCCCGTTTTAACAATTTATTACCTTTATCATTATTGTTTTTTTGTTTTTATCCTTGTTTTATTGTTGTTGTAAAGCACTTTGGGATTTTGTATCTGTGAAAGGTGCTGTATAAATTAATTTTACTTACTAACTAGTGAATGTATGAAAAACAAAGATGCAGGATTGTTTCGTGACAAAGACACATGGGTTTCAATGATTCCATCAAAGAAATGTAAGAATTATAGGAGTTACTGAAAACTCAAGAGTGCCACGATATACATGGTCTTTACAAGTTTCTATAAGCTTTTGTTCACGTCTAATGGCAGTTTGATATTAGCAACTGCATCACCTGCAAGGTGCATTGGGTACATTATAACAAAAGATCACAACATACACGTAACTTCACAGAAGAACAGAATGTGTAGTCTCTCTCAACAGCATACATTTTTCACATAAATTAAAATTAGATGGGTCAAGATGGCACTTTAAGGGTTTGGTTGCAGCTGCTAAAAGACTGACTGTGTTTTTGTTTTTCTGCAGACGATCCTGGTGGGGGACAGTGGTGTGGGGAAGACGTCTCTGCTGGTGCAGTTTGATCAGGGCAAGTTCATCCCTGGTTCCTTCTCTGCTACAGTGGGCATTGGATTCACGGTGTGTTGTGTCTTTTACATGCAGTGCATTCTCTTGTAAAAATGACAAACCGCATGTTTTAAGTACAAGTTCACCCAGATTATTTCTAGAATCAAGTTTCCCACTTACATCCAGTGGTATGTATGTAAATAGTTCAAGCCTTATTTGTCCAGATTTTTATTCAGGATATCTGATTGCTCATACTGTCAACGGCCCCCTTTCACACTGTCAGTTACCTCTTTTCCACCAAGAAGCACCAGGTGCTAGTTCCGTGCTGGTGCTAGGGCCAGTGCTTAGTTGGCTCCAATCTAAGAACTGGATGCTTTTCTATCAGCAAGGAGCCAAGTTAGAGCCACGCCATACGTCAGTGCATACATAGCCATTTACCGAACAACGCTCACGCCACACGGAAGTCCACACAGGACTCCAGACTAACTTTTTTAAAGGTTTGACCAACTTTCTCATTTGTTTGCACTTCCCACCTTGTCACAGGCAAAACATATGACTTGCTGAACCTTTTCTTATCAATTGACTCTACAATTTACGATTGTAGAGTCGCCCCACATAGCAGGCTGTAGTAGCTGCTGTTGGTGGCCGCGGTGGTCAGACCGGTGTGCGACCAAAATGACTTTAAAAAGAGTAAACTCAGGCGTTCTAATGTCAGATTTGTCCAAGATGAAATTGAGGGATTTTTTCTCATGTGGTCTTTTCAATGAGCGGAATAAACGGCACACGTAGGTGCTCTACGTTTTTCATGAGAGAACCGCAGCGTAAATACCGCAATACACCAAAGTTATAAAAGTCCTGTTTTCCACCACTGTGGTGCTGCTGGTAGGACACAATCATACCGGATTTCAGGGTGCAGCAGTTTGTGTAAAACCTCCATGTGTCCTGGAACTCATTCCAATACATCTGTGATTGGACCAGGGACGTCCTGGCGATAAACAACACGAATCATCTTGTGCGTCCCATTCATCGGTCTCGGTGGTCACGATAACCCAGCCCCTGACGTACTTGGTACTTGGTCCACCCACCCAGTCTGTCATCTGGTTAAGTATGCAGATGACATCGTTGTCCTGCCCCTGCTAACAGGCCCATCACACCACCACAGCTCGGCATCCCATGAGTTTGTGGAGTGAAGTGATAAATCTTCCCTGGAGCTAAATGTTGAACAAAACCCAAAGAGATAGTGATCACCTTCTTCAGCAAGCAGAGGGAGCTGGCTACAACAGCTGTCAGCATAATCCATGGGATTTCCCCAGGGGGACAAATAAAGTTGTTTGTTTTTTTTTTTTATTGAATTGAAATTGAAGTAGATGATGCAATGCGGGTAATAAAATCTGCAGTTTCTTTTTGACTTTAAGCTCAGTATTGTCACCACAACTTGCTTTGGGTGAGCATTGCAAATTCTCATTCGGTTTCACACAAAAATGTATTAGAGGGGGAAACTGGTTAGACAGATTTTGTATGATTTACTTCGCCCCAGAGTCAGGCCCTCTGATTGTTGTGTTTCTTTTGAAAAGAAATTATTCTGGCTTAGATTTTTGCCATTGTTACGTCATGTCATAAGACTAGATCCAAAGAAAACTGCCAGTGAGTTCTGTGAGTGTAACTTTTCTATGGTAGAGGTAAAAGTCTCAAGAATACATATTTCAAAACCTTAAAAAATAAAACCAGAACCATGTGCATGGATAGATACCACTGAACATGTTTGTTTCATTGTTTTTATAATTAACAATCGTATCATTTGTAAACATTCTAACTTGATTTTTTTCTCTGTTTCTGCTAGAACAAAGTTGTACCTGTTGACAACGTGAAGATCAAACTACAGGTTAGTAAGTATTTCCACTGAGTTGATGTGCTTTCACCACAGCAGTTTATTTTTAGAGCACCGGCTGGTTTCCTCTTCGGCGCCAGCATTGTAGCTGAAAGTCAAAATTAGCCAAGTGTAAACGGCACCAATTTCTTTTTCTGTATCAGATTTGGGACACAGCGGGGCAGGAAAGGTTTAGAAGTGTGACACATGCGTATTACAGAGATGCACATGGTAAGACAATATAAACCATAACCCACATTTCAGTCACAGACTTTACATCAATATTAAAACTGTATTGCTAGACTTGCTGCATTTGACTTACATGCCAGTTCATCATTTTTATTGGTTCTCTCTCCAAAGCTTTGCTCCTTTTGTATGACATCACCAGCAAGTCATCCTTTGACAACATTAGGGTAAGTATGGCATATGTCCCCAACCAAGATATGGAAATTGGTTAACAAAGACGAGTAAATGGTGTTTATAAAATCATAGTGAGCTGACATCGGCGTTTGTAGAATACACTGTCATGGTATGCTGATGGAAAACCCAGGTGCAGATGCTAATGAGGGCAAGAGGATCAGAGGCTGGGGCAGGAAATCTGACAGTAGATACATAGATAGATGACAAATTAAAGGGGGGAAAACACATGAAGTGGTTCAGTAAGATGTTGGCCACCATGTGCTGCCAGAACAGTTTCAGTGGTCTTTGGTATTGATTCTCCAAGTCTCTGAACTTTACTGAAGTAGTTGACACCACTTTTTCCAAATGTGTTTCCTCATTTGGTGCTTTGATAACGGTGGTGATCTAAAATCCAAATCCTCCCATAGGTGTTTAGTTGGATTGACATCTGGTAAATGTGAAGGTCACAGTATTTGACGCACATGTTCATACTCAGCAAAGCAATCACTGACTCATTTTGCCCTATGAGTCAGGGCATTGTCATCCTGGAAGAGACCGCTTCCATCAAGATAGAAGTTGTCTGTTTTATCACAGGATGTGGTCACCTTACACAGGTAAACACATTTTCTATTGATGTGCAGTGACCCTTCACTCTAAGGATTTAAGTTGGCCTAAACCATGGCAGCAAAATGCCCCCACAGTATAATAATGCCACCTTTTCTTGAATCCCCTCACTGTAGAGGTCAATGGTTCAGGTTTTCCTTTCATTTGTCACCCATCTGTAAGTACTGAGATATGTACTGTATATCAGGGCTGTCTGTGGGTGAACATCACCAAATTTATCTTCAACAATGTGTATTTGTTCAATTCAAAAATGTATTAATTAAATGACAAAAATATGTTTTCACTCATAGCATTAGGTAATTGAACCGGTAAAGTACACAATATGTAGCAACTTGCAAACATTGGTTGATTCATTTCCCTTTGTACGGCTCCCTGAGAGCCACCTTGCAGATAAACCTCCACTTTGACTCAGACTAAAGGGTTTTCACTGCAGATCAGCCTTTTGTTTAAATGTTATGTTAACTGTACATGTGTGTCTGTCACTTCTTCTTCAGGCATGGCTAACAGAGATCCACGAGTATGCACAGAGTGATGTAGTCATCATGTTGCTGGGCAACAAGGTGAGAGGGAATGGTTTGAAAAGGCTTGTGTGTGGAGGAAGAAGAGCTGAGAATATACAGGAGGATGTGATCTTTACTGAAACACACTGGAAATAGTGGTTTCTGGATAAATTAAGTTTAGAAGGAATATTGACTCAGCATGAAAAAGAAAATGTAGTAATCAGTGATAGCCATGAAAAGAGTCACAATTAGTAGGACTTCTGTGGGTTTGAATGTTATGACAGGTCACAGTGACTTTTTATAGTGCAAAGACCTAAAACATTTACTGCATGATAACCTGATCAATAGAGATGCGATGAAGCAATGTTTTTGAGGTCTGTTTGTACTATACAAACCGAGAGTGCACATCAGTGCACCGTTAGTGATACACATTCCTACCGCTACTGCGAGCTTGGCTTTCACATTTAATGACCCAGTTTGATGGTGATGGAACTTGCATCCAACTCAAAGACAAGCAAGTGTATGTATGTAATTGAAACAAAAAAAAAATATTTGGCAATATCTCATCTGACTGTTTAAAGGCTTGGTCACACCACAATAATAAAGAAACAACCAGTGCAGTCCAAGGAATTTAGCACACATTTTTCAAGTTAAACAGTTTTGAACTTTAACTCACAAGCTTGCACCGTTTACTAATGAGAAGTGGCCAGTGGAACTTTTCACAGTGCTCTGAGAGAGTCCACAATGGAATCACTTATCAGTATTCAGTCTGATTTAACCTCCTCTGTCCAAGCATGGTGCCAAGTTTCCAGTCAGGAGTCAACAAGACAAATGCACCACACTAAGCAAACGAGTCAGCCTGAAAAGCTCTAACATATTTTCCTTATCTGAGAACTTTTTTTTATTGAACACAGAGTTTTACTGTAATGATTACAAAACCATAGCGGACAGAGAATTTCTGGAAGTTACTGTGATGAACCCAGCCATCCAGCATGTCTCCAAGTATCATTAACAAACTTCAAGAACGAAATATTTTGGAAAGACATGCAGATAATTTTGCTTTGGCACTTGGTGGTGTGGCCACAGAATGATATTAAAATCCCACACTGCTAGTTGGCCGAATTGGTTCTTTAGGTTTGTCACATAACCCCAAATATCTGAATCTACATTTTATTATTATTATTATTATTTTATATTGGACATGATTAGCCATGGCCCTGACTACTTAATTTGCTCTTGTGTGTGTCATTTGATTTAAAAAAACAAACCAAAACAACAAAAAAGTGACCTTCCTGACTTACTCAAAGTTTCCGACAAAGATGCATGAGTTTAAATGATTCCATCATAGAGGAGTTGTATCAGTCATCACATACATGGTCTTTACTAATGTATGTGAACTTTTGTTCATGATCGCAGCTGTTACAGTTTCAGGGTCCTGGTACTGTGCTGGGCAGTCAGCTCCACTGATTGATAGTCTGTTGTGTGCCAAGAAACAAAGCAGCACACTACGACAAGGCAGGTTAAAAGAAGTTTGCTAACCATGTCAACATAGGTCTAAACATGGGTTTTAAAATATTGAAAGATAATTAGCTTGCAAATTTTAGGATAAACCAGTAAGTTGTTGGGCCCCAAGCATGCACACAATGAATTTTGGTATAATATAAAATTCTGACAGATCATTTTGCTAGAGCCGATGTTATCTAAAAAGAAAAAGGCATTTCTCAACATGCATACTTCTGTAATGCTTGACAAATCCAAATGTTAATTGTTGCATGTCACAAAGCAGAGGCACATTTTAAGGCTCTCTTCTCCTGACTAGACTAAACCTTGTACTTGTTAAATTCACTTTTGCATCAAATCTTCAGTGAGGCCTTAATCTAACCAAACTCTTTCAGGCTGACATGAGCAGTGGCCGAGCAATCAGGAGAGATCAAGGAGAGAGGCTGGCCAGAGTGAGTATTTCAGTCACTGCTGTACAAGCTCAACTGATGTGCTTTACTGTGCTGCTCACATTTTGTTGCTCCTCATCATGTCTTTAGGAGTATTCGGTTCCTTTCATGGAGACGAGCGCCAAAACAGGAGTCAACGTACAGCTGGCCTTCACCGCCGTGGCCAAGTATGATTCACTCAGCAGCTTTTTAAACACTATAAATGTTCTATCTTTAGTCTGCTTTGCACTGAGATTGATATTGTTTTTAGTGTAGTCATTGTGGTTTGTTAATTTATATATCCATGTATTAGTTATCTAGAAATCAAATGTTAGTTATTGATCACATTTACATTCAGATTTTACTGAAGACCCATTAAGCAAGTATTTCACAGATACCGAGCACCTCAGGTTTTACTTAAGGTTAAATTAATAAGTAGTTTGTAGTTGAAGCTTGGCCATATTTCACCTTTTGCTTTTCTACCATGGTGACACTAAGCTGCAGAAAACATTTTTATTTCTAGAAAAGCACTTTGAGAGTGCTGACCTCCACCAAGCAGCTCATTTCCACCATATTGTGATTTCCACCCAGTGTTGAAGTCCTGCATTCATTTTATCTACACTGTTAGATTCATGGAGAATCGAAACATACCTTTGAATTAACAGTGATATTATTAACAACAAACTGATGGAGTGATGAACAGTCGTTCTGTACTCTCAAATATTTTGTACACTTATTTCTGCAGTTACTTACTGGATTTTAAGCTGTTACATAACGCTATGTCAGGTTGGATTGACATATTGAGTCATTATTAATGTCACAACGTCGTTATGAACTTATGTGTTGGCAGCTCCGCTCAGCCCACTCCTGTGATGCTGCCTGGCTGTAACATACTCCAACCCAGTCTCATGGCAGTTTGTGAAATAGTTCATCTATTGATTCATGTCCAGATACCCGAATTGCCCAAATTTTTCGTGTCCCCCACTACGAATTTCAAACTGATACATTTCAATTGGACTTATCTTTCGTGTCTGGCCCATGTTTTTTTTCCCTATTAAACAGCGCTGTGATGTTTTTGTCATTCTTTTCTTCCAACAGTCAGGCATTAATCAATTTTACGGTTATGGCCCGTCCACACTAATAACTATAGAGATCACTATACAGATGTGTGCACCCACATGATAACATTCTGTAAACACGCAGCAGGTACCCTGTGCTCCAGCTGCATATAAGCAGCGTATCCATTCAAATATCCATCCATCCATCCATTATCTATACACCACTTAATCCTCACTAGGGTCGCGGGGGGGCTGGAGTCTATCCCAGCCGACTTGGGCGAAGGCAGGGGACACCCTGGACAGGTCACCAGTCTAGAAAAGCAAAAAACATCCAGGCATTTTCTGGATTAACTGGACACACATTGGTAATCTTCATGGTTACATTCTCTGCTGAAATGTTTTCAAAAGTTAGCAGAGCTGGAACCAGATGATCAGCAGCTTTCTGACGTACGGACCATATGGCATTTGTGTACCTTAAAAGGCCCTAATTTTACAGAATCCTTTAATCAAATGCATATTAGAAAACAGTAAACCAAAAAGTGTTGCATTATTAGCAAATCATGATGTCATTCATTTCACTCATTCACTTCATCATGTAAAGTCCTCACAGTGTTCCTGTCATCGCTCTTCTAATCCTGTTGCAGTTATTCTAAACTTGAACATATCTGCTTCTGCTCTCCAGGGAACTGAAGCACCGAGCTGTCCAGCACCCCAACAAACCCAAGTTCCAGATTCATGAATACATCGAAGCACAAAGGGAGAAGTCCGGCTGCTGCAGCTACTTCTGAATCACAGCTGCTGCAGCGTCGTCCTCCCACCGCTCCAGGTGAACAGACTGTCAGAGACTCATGGAGAGCTGCTGAGTGGGAGGAAGCCCTGTTACTCACTGCTGCTACCAAATTATGACACTGCCATTCATTCCAAACATCAATGAAGAAGAATAAACCCAATTTTTAGACTCACACAACTCACAGTTTGAGTGAGTATATATATATATAAAACAGTTAAATATTACAATATAGCATTATAATTTTTTACTTTCTTAAGATTACATCAATACTGTGCCAATGCTTTGTGTTAAGAATGATGGTGAGTCAGTACATGGTGGGTGTAGGTTAGCATCAAGACCAGAGACAACAGCTCTGTCAAAAACAACAAAATATTGGCAGCAAACAAATCCAAAGCTAACTTATTAACACAGCGTACGTGTGCACATTTGTTTAATAAATATAACACAAGAGCCCACAGACACGATGGTGACTCTGGGAGAATGAACTACATGCCAACAGGGTTACAAGAGGGTTCCACTGCAGGAACTTGTTGATTGTTTTCAGGCGGCCCAAACCTTTGCTTTTAGACCCTGAAAAACTGCTGTGCAGGTCTCAGAACTGATTGCTTCAACTTAGAGGGGACAATAAGTGCCATTTTTCTGCCCTCTTGCTGCCCTGCCACGCCAACATCTCCATCAACAAAAACAGCATTCACTATATAGATAAACATAACCAAGATAAAGTTCTCCAGCTTCCCCCTACAGGGCCGACCTAGGTGCTCTCACCCCAATGATTTATATTGGGATGACAAATGAAACTCACTTTTGCAGGCTATGGTAAATGTATATAGATTGTCTGTTAGGGAAAATGCTTTGTAGGTCCTTTTAGTTCTTTTTGCAATGGTATGAACAAATCTGCTCCAACATTAGACAGCTTTTCAGTGCAGAACCTTGGAGCAGGCAGAAGATGGCGCGGGCATTTACAGGAACATCCCTCTAATTTGGCCTTTTGGTGGTGCAGGATCGGACAGATACAACATTGAAGCCTCGGTCACATCTGGCCATACAGGCTCCTACACGTCCAAATTTTGTGCAGAATCACATGTGCCATGCAAGTCTGTCTTGAGAAGTTGAGGTTGCAGACAGCCCATACGGAGGATTTTGGACATGTCCAACAAATTTTATGAATTCTCTGCCAATAGCAACACCAGAAATGTAACTTGCTCCCCCTGCAAGGAGTTTGCAAGTGAGACGTGCATTTTTTTTTTCAAAGTTATTTTTTTGGCCTTTGTGCCTTTATTGGATAGTGTTGATTGATTGATTGATTGATTGGTTAGTGAGAGAGAGAAAGGAAAGTGGGGGAGGACATGTGGGAAAGGGCCATGAGCGGGATTCAAACTCATAACCTCCACAGTGGGACTGTAACCCTGCACATGGAACGCCAGCTCAACCAGGTGAGCTATAGCACCCCCCCGAGACATGCAATTTTTAAGGTGCCATGGGAAGAAAATCCGTGATCGAAGACATACATCCCATGCAATGAGGGAGCAAGTGCCCCTTGCACTCAAACAAAATCGAACACAAAAGCGTCTCACGTGTCACCCCCACGCCAGGAGAAAAAAAAGACATGCACGCGCTTGCGTTTTACCAGTGATCATCGAGTGTAGAACATCTCCTCTCCTCATCTTCTTCATCATTGCTGGGTGTCACGGATCAGGCTCAGAGACTCAGGCACAGACGGATGACTAGAAAGCATTTCACAAATAAATGATTACAAAATATATTTACAGGAAGAACTTCGAGCACACAGGTCAAACAGGAAGTAAACCAAAAAGCAAACTGATTCAAGAAAAGCTCAGGGACAAAGCTGATGAAAAAAAGAAAACTGCAAGACAGCTGTACTTGTGGATATGTGAAGGAATGCGTCCATGAAATTTGTCACTAGAGGAAGAATCCTGTATAGAGCCAAACACAGTTTGAGTCACTTTGACTGTGATTGAATTTATAATTTTGTCATTTTAGGAAATGTCTGTACTATATTTGTGAGTGCAGTGAACATATTCCTGAGAAGGTTTGTGACATTATGGCTGCATTATTTCTCCAGCCCCTGAAAAAAGCTCATGTTTTGCTCTAATAGTCTGATCATGAAATTCAATTTAAAGCTCAGCTGCATGTTGGACTGCATGTGTCCTAACTGTGTGAAACTCCCTTCAGAATGTATTTAGCTCTTTATATTTGCATCAAAACAAATATTAAAAACATGATGAAGTAAACTGCATACATAATCACATCCTAACTCAATGCTCAGGGTTAAATTTTGTTTTGAAAATACAAGATCTGGTATATAATAGATAGTAAGTCCACGTCAACACATTAAAGCTGCATTATTGATTTTTGTTTCTTTTTTTTTATTCTTCTTTTTTTTTTAAATATGTTTTTGGTTACTTGAGGGAGCAAAACAAGCCATAAATGTTTGCAACACATATTACATACAACATGTATGTATTATTACTTTGAAATAGTTTTGGAAAATGTGCTAGCAAACAGTTACATGAGATGCATTAGAATTAATTTTAAGGCAGTTTTATAAAACAATTAGGCTCAATGCTACACAGTGTTCACCAGCTTTTCACTAACTTTGTATGTTTTGTCTATATGTTAGCAAAGTATTTGTCAAGAAAATGAACTTAAAGATGCTAAACTGTGACCAAAGGGCAGAGTTTGGTGGTGTTTCCTCTGTGGGTAACACCTTTAAAGTGCAGCTTGAGGGGAACAATGATGACAAAACAACATTTCCGTGCAGCTGTAGCACAAAGACGCTGATGAATTTGCATTGAGAACAGTATGCAGTGCTTTTCTGCAAATAGGTCAATGACTGGGTGTGTGCTGTGGTGCAGTTTTTACAGTTCAGGTCTGATGTGGTTTATAACCTACATTTACTCAGACTGTGACCAGTAGGCCTTGGGTACATGGAGCAGCTGTTTGTTTGTTTGTTTGATTTGTTCTATGCTGCATAAATATATATTATATTATATATTAGGGCTGCAAGGTGGCACGGTGTTCAGCACCATCGCCTCGCAGCTAGAAGATCCCCGGTAGTTAGGACGCCTGGGATCTTTCTGTGGCAAGTTTGCATGTTTCCTGTGCAGCATGGGTTCTCCTGCTTCCTCTCACAGTCCAAAAGCATGTTGAGGTTAATTGGTGATTCTAAATTGTCCGTAGGTGTGAATGTGAGTGTGCTTGGTTGTCTGTCTCTAAGTGTAGCCCTGTGATAGACTGGTGACCTGTCCAGGGTGTCCCCTGCCTTCACCCTATATATATATTATTTTTCTTTTTCTTTTTTTTTTTACTAAGCATTGGTCTTGCTTACAAACGTGTGTGTGGCACAGATAAAGACAAAGAGAAGATGATGATGGGCTGCAACTAGTTACGTCACCACAGTTAAAGTGAACTGATAGACACGTTGCTCAGGTTCTACCCTGACTTTATTAGTTTAGTTATATTTGTGCCAATACACCCCACTTATGGAATGTCAGAATCGATGTCTAATACATAGTAAAGTAGGAAAGAATAAAAAAAGAACAAAGCTTCCAGGTGCTACCTTAGCCTTCAAAATAAAAGCACAGAGTGGCTCCTCGTAAGTGGTCTGATCTCTCTTTAGTTGCTGACAGTTTTTCCAGTCTAACTGAGCAGGTGGTATTTCATTTAAATTACTTCTCATCAACATGCTTATAGTGAAGTTAAATTTCAGATTTTTTATTTTTTAACTTGAACTGTCAACTGCTTTAAGGAAGTGTGATGTTCTGGTTAAACGGCAGACTTGTTTACAAATTGGGACATTTCAGCCTTAAAACTGTGCATGTGAGAAAACAGCTGTGGTCCTCAATGTTTCATCCACACAATAATCATGTCACGCTGTTATTAGCTGGATGGAAATGGTCATCTGTAAACTGTGATTACATTGTAATAAATTGAAATGCTTTTATTTGATTACGACCAAATTGTCAGACAATAACTTGATAGACTTTACAACTGACAACATGTTGTATAACATTTCATTCTTAGAAAGGAAACTAGTCTGTTGGGGTTGGGGGGTGGCTACACAGACAGACAAACAAGCACACTCACATTCATACCTACGGACAATTTAGAATCACCAATTGACCTCAACATGTTTTTGGACTGTGTGGGAGGAAGTAGAGACAACATGCAAACTCCACACAGAAAGATCCCAGTTCCAGGCTGGGATGCTAACCGGGGATCTTCTAGCTGTGAGGTGATGATCAGAATCAGAATCAGCTTTAATGGCCAAGTACGTACACAACATACAAGGAATTTGGTTTCTGCTGTTGGTGTCGCCTTAGGAATTTGCACGAATAATAGAAATAGGAAAATTTAAAAAATAAAATAAAGTAAAATAACTAAAGAAAGAAAAGAACAAAATACAATAAATATTAATAAAAAATAAAACAAGATAATAAGACAAATATATACAAGAATTTACACATCTAGTAGAAAAAGGTATATGTACATTAGTGCAAAATGATGCTGACAACTAAACCGTCTTGCCCGTGGTAGAAACAGAACAGATGTTATTATTACGTTACTTACATCTGCATTCCTGGTCGGTGTAATATTATTACTTACACTTGCTGTGACATGACTGAAGAGCTGACTTGTTTTGACCCCTCAAATGTAATGCAAATGCTGTGAGTGTTACGGGGAATGTGCAGTAAAATTCTATAATTGGATAATAATTTGACCTGTTTGCAATGATGTATTCAAAATTCGTGGTTAGCACTATCGCCAAACAGCTATGAAGTCCTGGGCTGTGTTCTCTCTGTGGGTGTCCTTCCACAGTCCAAAGACATCAACAGTTTCCCTGAGGTTTCCACCAAAGGGATCAATAAAGTTCTATTCTATTCTATTCTATTGACATGATTCTAAACTGTGTGTTGTCTGTCTCTCTGTGTTAGCTGCTGACCTTTCCAGGGTAAAGCAGGTACAGATAATGCATGGATGGAATTCTTATTGTTATTCTTTGCTTTACTATTAGTTGTTGTATTGTTTTTGTTGTTTATTTTATTTATTTTATTGTCAGGGATGTTCTTCTGGCTAATACGCATAAATTCTAAAAATTTCAAAAAAACATTTAATCCTGTTGCCCTGAAAATGATTTGACATAAGGGTCAAAAATGTACTCCTTTAAATTGTAAAGTGGGCTCAAACTTTTTAAAATAAAGGCCACAGTGACGTCACTGAACTCCTTGAAGTGTGAAAATCCGCTGACACGTGTTGATCTCAGTGTGTCCGCTTGACGGTGGAGCTGCTCTGAGGACCGACGTCGGATTGGAAGCAAAAGTAAAGATTGCAACATAGTTGAGAGGGGAGGATCTGTGGGGCAGCAGAGCAACATTAGCACCAGAAAGTTCCCCTCGTGAGCCACATGAGAGGAAGAGCGGCTCCGGCAGCAGGTGTTAGTTTCCTACGTTCGGCTGTGTGAGGACTCGGTTCGATCAGAGGAGGAGAGAAAAGTTTGATCAGCACCATCATGTCAAACCTTCGACCCAGACTGTGTGTGATGAGGAAAGAACCCGGCGGCTACGGGTTCCACCTGCACGGAGAGAAGGGCAAGACCGGCCAGTTCGTGCGGCTGGTGGAGCCCGACACTCCCGCCTCCGAGGCCGGGCTGCTCGCGGGGGACCAGCTGACGTTCGTGAACGGGGAGAGCGTGGAGGGGGAGAGCCACCAGCAGGTCGTAGCCCGGATACGGGCCACCGCCGGGACTCTGGAGCTCATCGTGGTGGACGTGGAGACGGCGGAGCTGCTGAAGAAACACAACCTGCAGTGCCGGAAAGAATTCGTCACGGAGGGGATTCCCCTGCCAGGCGGGGACAGCGACTCGGACCGCGGGGACGCGCAGAGCAACGGCACCCCGAGGGAGGCCACCCCGGTCCGCTGGGAGAACGGGGATGCTGGCTCGGACAGGTCGGGGAGGCTGAGTGTCAGCTCCAGCACCAAGGTACAGAAAAACGAGTTACTGCACACTTTACTACGTTTGGCCTAATCTATTGGATTCCATGACACTACATCATAAACCAGATTGTATTATTATTATATTGATGAGAAAACAAACTCCATCAGTGTTTGGTGTCTTTATGGACACGTTATCAGAGGTCAGCTGTTGACATCTTGTTCTATGAATATGAATTAGCTGTAACTAAAACATAATATAATAAACAAATGGATTTCCCACAGAGCATTCTTAATCATTAATTGGCAGCATCATGTATAACAACTCTCCTCCATCCACAGACTTAACGACCAGATCATGAACAACATCATGTTTTACTTCAGTCCTGGAGTCACACTAGACTTTTTAGCTTCATCATATCTTCTGATCTCATCTGATAAGACGATAACTAGAATACAAAAAGTCAAATGCAAAATTTTAATTTCATTTTGCAGATTTAAATTTTTTTCATCCCATGAAAGCCTTCAAAACTCAACCTTTCTTCACTAAATTTCAAGCTTTTAAAACACTTCAACCATTCAGTTCTTCTTCTTTTTTCAGTTTTGTAATATGACATGATAGCCATCCCATAATCTGAGGCCTGTGGAAGTAGTGGTTAAGTAGCTACCTCAAGGGTCAGTAAAATATTCTGAGGTAACACACCAGGACAGTGAAACACGCCAGGCCTCTACTCGCTCCCATCCAACAGTCTTTGTCTTAAAAATGTCTGTCAGTCTTTCCACTTCCTGTCTTAAATTCCCCGTCAGGTTTGGCCTGTCAGACCAGAAGGCTTGTCACACTTAACGCATGCCATGAAGAGCGAGCATCTCTTTGTAGACCTGTGCTATTATCTGATATGATTCTGAGAAGCATGGATCCACATGAGATACAAACAGTGCTTTTATTGCCCAGAGGTCTGGATCAAGGTGTGTCACTGTTTTGAATTGTTTGGACAAGCTTTGTCTACGGTGCTAAATTAGCAGTGAAACTAATGGTTGGAGGCCTCCCACCACCACCACACTGAAAATCTGCAGCACTTCGACACACGTTCTTTGTTTCACCATAAGCCTTTGGAAGACAAAGCTTTAGTTTGCTGGTTATGAAACAGTTTTATGAGGTTATTCTTTGAAAGAGTCATAAACAAGATTTTGTCGACTATGTAACTGTTTCAGGCCGAGAAAGATTTAAATGTTGCGTAACTCTGCAAAATAGCCTCTTTGTGGAGGAGTTTCATTGCAGTTGCAGTTTTTAATTTGGACTTATGCAAATGATGGGAGATGAGGTTATTTTTAAACATGGCTCCATTAGTAGGTGGGAGTTAAGGACGAGCTAGAAAACAACAAGGAACTGGTAGTAATTCAGTGTCCTGCCTGGATTACAGTGTGAAACTCAACATTTATATTATAGTTTACAGTCAGAGCTAGAACTAATCATTTTTTTCAGAGTTAATTATTCTAAGAGGTTTTCTTTTGATTATTAATGAATCACTTGTAAAGTATTTCAAAAGGAAATAGCAGTGTCCATGCATGTGGTTGTGTTATTCCTGGATTATACTATGTTGTGGGGAATCAACCAGTACTTTGATGATGATTTTAAAAGACAGCGTTTAGGCTATTAAATTCAAATTCCAGATGCAAAGATGTTGTTACAATGGCCAATTGTCTTGAGAGCTAATTGATCTAACATTGGGGCTACGATGGTTGGCATCGTTGCCTCGCAGCAATAAGGTTGCCGGTTTGCATCCCGGTGAGGACACCTGGGATCTTTCTGCGTGGAGTTTGCATGTTCTCCCCGTGCAGCGTGGGATGATCTAATGTAGGCAAATCTAGCTTCTGGACTAAGTAATGTTACGTTAAGAGCTGTCTGATCTCAACTTACCAGACTTTTGAGCCATATGTTTTACATGTTGCCATTGTTTTTTGTTGGCCGCAGCATAAAGGCCACAGTCTTTATTTCTGAATATGATAATCTGAAGCGTAGCATCACCGAAACCCTTCTCAGACACGGGATCAATAATGTAAGATAAGATAAGATAAGATAAGATATGCCTTTATTTATCTCACAGTGGAGAAATTCACATCGTTACTTGTTGCTTCTTTGTCAATCTGTTAAAGTGTCAATTAGACACAAGTCAATTTTGTGTTACTGTTCCTCACACACATGATACAGCTCATCTGTCTACAGTGAAGTATACAGTGTGACCTGCTGTTAAATCCTGATTGATCCTGTCTTCACATCCGAGATGATTAGTAATTTTAAGTAATGAATTAGGTTACTGTTGTTGTTTTGTGCGGAAGTACACGCAACTCTCTCTCTTTGGAGATGTTCATATGGATCCTGCTGCTGTCTGATTATACATTTATGAAAGCAACAAACTAAATTCAACTTCTATTAGCGTATTGTTAAAGCCCAGATTAAATTCCTTAATCGTGATTTTTCTTAATGTTTTAATTTGACTTGTGCCATATTAAAAGTGATGTGGAAATGTTCCTATGTCTGACTAAGTGAGACTGCCAACTTTACAGAAAAGTGCCCAGGATGTTCATTTAGATGTGAAACGCTGTCAGATTAACCAAAAGGCCTGCATGTTCGAACGACTCCATAGTTTTTTGCTGGTGTGCACTTCCAAAGATGCCGTTTCCTTCTGCTTGTGCAACGTGATTGGTGGATTTATCTCTTATCAGAAAAAATGTCAGTCGATACATTTACACCCTTTTTACAACATTTCTAATCTTTGGACTTGGCCAGGATTTACTAAGTAACTCCAGTCAAGTCCAAATGTTCAAGCAAATCATTGGTGTTTGGAATTTCGATGAGTCACCAACTTTGCTGCGTGTCCACGTCAAGTTCACATGTTTTGCTCCTGTTCTGCAGGTATACACGGAATGTCTAGTCGTCACTCTTTGCGTAGGTGGCTCACGGCCCTTCGCTCGTTCCCTGATCTTCAACCGAGTGTAAAGCCTGCTCTGTCTGGCTGGTATGCTGCAAACTTCCAGCTACCTTCCCGCCTGATGGGAAACTTGGCAGGGCCTGATACCCTGTGTGATACTGGCCTCTCACAGCAGCTTCCCAGTGGGAAACACTTGAGTGGGCTGGCTGGTGATGACGTGGAAGCAGCCTTGCCTTGTGGTTAAACAATAGTCCCTTTCACATGATTTCTATTGGTTTACACTTAGTATTGCAGTTCAGAGCTCAGTAACCAAACATTTTGCAACAAGTTCTCCAAAGACCTGAGGTTGGGTTTGCTCAGACGATAAAAGCACAAAGATGCCATCATGTTATGGCACCTTCCTCGCTCAGACTCCACCACACCGAGACACGTGTATTGGTCACCATAGAGATCCCCAGCAGCAGGAACAGGCTTTGTTCAGTGTTTGCCTGTGGAGAAAGGCTTCTGGGCCAGAGAGGAAAGAAGAGAGGACTCTCACGTGTGAACAAGGAGGCAATGCTAACGCTGAAAAAAATACATCCTCACTTAACACACTGTCATTAGGGCGAGAGTGAAGTTAAAATATATGAGTGGGCATGTAGGGGGTGGGCCTGAGAATTAAATAGCAATTTGTTCTCAAAGTTTACGCTTGACCGACTCCTATCAGATTTGTTTCTGCACATATACCATCAAGTAAAACGTAAAATTTTTTGATTACGTGTTGTACCTTTTTGAGTAAAAATTGACAGAGAGGTGGTGCAGCCATGTTGATTTTTACATCATTTATTTAGTGTCAATTTGTGGAGCAACTTGAGAAATAATTTAAATTTAAAAACTAAAAACTTCCTGAGGGCAGCTGGGATAAGCATGGTTGTGTATGAATTTTGCAACAAAGAATTTTAAGACAAAAAGTCTTAAAATGTTGACTATAATACCTAGAATTGCACTTTGAGTTTGCACTAATCTGTAAATGTAATAGACAGATCAAAAATGTACAGACAAATATAGATAAAAAATAAGCATTTTTGTTGTTTAAGTTCATGTTTACGTCTGTTCATTAATTTAGTCGTCAGCCAAAATGTATTTGAATTGAAAAACTTTGCTTATTGGATCACATATTGGTAGTTGATAAAAATGTGATTCATCAAGATTAATTAATTACAAAGCCTCTAATTAATTTGATTTAAAAAATATACATATATCTATATATAGTTGTGTATATCATTGGACTGCAACATTGTTGATGTACAACTAGCACCTGTCTTCATTCTAGCTGCACGTCCTACACATCCACTAACTTGAAGTTGCCTCCACACACACATGAATAGGATAAAATAAAACAATCCTGTGGCTTTATGAATGTTTATTTAAATCCAAATGATAGAGCGAGTGATTTTGTGGGGTTTGTGACACTAAGGAAATGTATTTACTGTTTTGCAGCCATTTCCATTGATCATAGATGTCTTCTAGACCAGTGCATGTTATGTGATGAATGTGGACGTTGTGGTAACTCAGTTGAACACTGTGCCAGAACTGGACTTTTCCCACCTTGCCTCTGGTCACTCTGTATGCAATTACAGAAGAACTTTGAGCCTCCCACTTAGAATGAAGGCCTTGAAGCAGCTCTTATCCTTCCAACAGGTGATCTCCTCTTTAATGTTTTACGACGCCTCTTATCACTCGCCTCATATAAGTTATGTAAAGAACAGTTAATCTGCCACTTTATTGATTCAGGAGTTGTCAACGCTGTAAATCTGGATTATTCAATAGACAGAATGTCTCTGCTTTTAGTACAGCACCAACAGGTGAGAAAGCCCAGAATGACCACTTATGTAACTTGCGGAGTTCAGTTCAGAAGTTGCACCCTCTGACTATAATATTTTGTCTGATGGGTTATTGAACCGCTTTTACGGTGATGGTAATGCTGAAACTATGGGTCAATTAGCTGTGTTAAGTTTATTTTAATAATAAACTCTAAGTGTCAGTGGGTCATTTACAGAACCTTGAATGTTATATGTGGTGAACAGACATATGAAATGAAATCTATGGAAATTGTGCTGCAATTTTGACATTGGTATAG